TAATACCCACGTTCTTGCTTTTGGAAACAACCAGTATTTTAATAATATTGATTGAAATGTCACGCAGCTTACTAGCGCAATCTTTCAAAGGTCCGACGTAAATAATTACCAACAAATTTAGCTTAACATCAGCCCGTTATTATATGAGTATATTGTAATCTTTTCTAAACTTCTACTTAACTTCTTAAAAACTTTAGCAGCCTCAAATCTTGGGAAAAATAGCTGCTCAATGTAATCAATCATATCCGAAGTGAAAATAACAAAGGATAAAGGTCCCAGAAGAGAACCTTGTCCAACACTAATGCCTTCGACCTTCTATTATCAGTCTCTACTATCTATAATCGCTTTTTCTAAGTAATAACGAATTAATCTTATTTTTTTGGGCTTAAATCCATAATAAAGGAGTCTAGCACAGAAAATGGAGTGACTAAGGGTGTCAAAAGCCTTATTATAGCCCAGTAATAGTAAAGCTGTCTATTGTACCGTATGGGCAGCCAGAAGAACTTTCAACTGCGCTGTTGCGGTGCTGAACCCCTTACAAAATCCAGACTTATAATGAATTATTTGTCGGTAAAATAACGTTTCGAACACTTTTAAAAACGTTGACAATAAGTTAATGGGTCTAATATCACATGCCTTCTTTCCATAGCACAGAAAAGAGTGCGTTCCCAATGCATGAATTAAAAAAGGTGTGTTAACACGGGCACGATCGTTGGACGGCACAGTCTATGCATCATTTCCTGAAACATTGGGCTGGATTGGAATGACATCAACAATACCTATACGTACAATTGATTCGTCCAGTATGTAAAATTTTCAACATTTTGCCAAATATTATCTTAAATTGGAGTTGACCAGTTTTTGAAGGCTTCAATGAATGGCTTACATAAGTCCCCATTGAACTGGGCTTGTTCGCTGTCTTTTGGCTTTTCCTGAGCTGGTGTTTCACTGATTTGGCATGCTGATGCACAATAATTTTTTTATCTGCATTAAAACGTAATAATTAATTTGGGTTTCCATTCGTATTAAAGAAAATTCTGATTTCAATCAAATAAAATATTTGAGTACGAATCTTTTGTGAAACCATTAAAAGCTATGAATAATTTTATTGAAATAATAATGATAATAAGTCTTCTTTTTGTTACTACAAAACAATAGAGTAGAAAAGTTTAATAAATATTTTAAAATTATCAACATTAACTACCCAAAAACATCTAAGAAATGCCTTAATAAATAACATTTTTTAAGTAAGGAGACGAAAGTTTCTAAATAAAACTTAAAATAAAAAAATATATTTTTATGTCATTGGATAAACGTTTCCTTAAATTTAGTTAAAGTCAATAAAAGGCTCTGTCGAATTCAATCGCCTTCACTCATTTTAAAGAAATAAAAGAACATGCAAACAGTTTTCATAATAGTAATACTTTATTGCAAGATTTTATTGCTTTATCTATTTTCGTTTGTATTGATAAAAATATAAACACCGTTTTCTGCCATATTTACAAAGCGATTGTACGTTGGTGGTGTTTGCCATCACATAGAAATTTTAGAAAATCGAGATTATTTAATTTCGAATGATCCAAATATTTTCGTATATTTTGAACACCCTGTAGCAACTAATTCAAATTTCATTGCATGCATCTTTTACGCCATATTCCAATAATGCTAATATAAAATATGAATCCGTCCAATTTTTTTCAGAAAAGTTGAAATATTGGAAAAACTATTAGGTTTAGGTAGGTATTATTATTAATAAAAAAAAATTGAATTTCATAACGAATTCAAAACAAAATTGCTTTTTTTTACTCGGCCGGCCTTTGATTTATTTTCCACCGACATCAGGTTATTAATCGGATCTTAACTAGGTCACCAAGCTAATAATCTAAGCCCCTTAAAGCCAACAAAGGCATAAGTGTGTCTACTATCAAGAGTAAATAAGAAGTGACGATGCCAAAAGCAAACGGAACATTTTAGTTGTTTAAAGTTCAAGGGAAATGCTAATAACTGCGATTATTATTCCCCAACACGCAAAATAAACGTTTAGCTAATATCCAATTGACGACAATAGTTTCGTAACTGTGCAACTCTAGTGGCTTGCAGATGGAGCAAAATCGACTTACATGTTACGCTCTCGGTTTTTGACAAACATTTAATGGTTAAAACTGCATGGCAATATCTTTACTAACAACAGATTTCTTCTACAGTTGAATACAAATTTCTTATTTAATATAGTAACCATAGTTGGCTTTGGTCTAAAAAAAATGCCCGGTCGAGTCCTGTGATCACAAAAGGTGAAAATATAGGGCAGTTTATATTAATGGATTAGTAGGCGGTGCAAATAGCTGTCAAAATCAGAACCATTTAAATGAAGAACAGAAAATGAATATAATTGGAGTGGCATTAGAAAATCCAAGTATATCCTCAAGGAAACTAGCTGAGGCAATAAGAGCTGGAAAAATTAAGGTTCGTAGTGGAAAAGTCCACCAATTACATGAAGGGCATGCCGGTAGAAGAATTTTGCAAATTTTGCAACTGATTTATCGGGAAATACCATGAGAACATTAATTTTCCATTATCTATTGTTTGAAGTGATGAAGCTAGAATTGACTGTTCCGGAATAATTAACCGATACAATTTTGATCGCTGGATCGTAGAAGATCATCATGCTGTAGTGTATCAAAATCGGCAAGGTCGCGTAAGGATAGGAACTTTTGGAGGTAGATTTGTGGGACCTTATTTTTTTAATGAAAATCTGACAGCTGATAAAATTTTTGCAAACATGAGTTGTTCCATTTTTGGAAGATTGGCCATTCATTCTTGGAAGGAATATTTATTATCAGCAAGATGGTTGGCCCGCTCACAACACACGGAATGGAACTTTTAAGTGAAGAGTTTGGACAATGTTGGTCCCATTCTATGGACCCCCAGATCGTGTGATCTACCTCCTTTAGATTTTTTTTATGGGGAAGATTAAAAGATCTTATATTTAAAGATAGAATTTTAAAAAAACAAAGCAGAGTTAGAGGAAGTCACTTAAGAAGGGTTTCATTGCGTTCCGTGAACAGAAGAAAGTTAAAATTAAAATATTAAATGGTTCTCAGTTTTTGTTTTTTTCACTCATGTTATTTTAAATTGGCCCTAAAGGTTTTAATGTGACGTATTTTTAAACATAAAGGGTGATTCAATAAGGGTTTTCATAACAAAATAATAAAAAAAACTCGGAAGAATATAAAAATATACAAACATTTTTATTTGCCATTTTAGATGAGTGTATTACAATTAGGTATGAAAGATGATGTCATTCAAATGACCCCCGCGACTCATGTGGCATGACGTAATTCGTTTATTGAAATTGCCTATCGCCTGTTTCAGCTCTGGAATAGTGTTTGGTTTATTGCTATTCACTCTGCTTTTTAGATACCTCAAAAAAAATCTAGGGGATTAAGATCACATGATCGCGGGGGCCAATTGATATCGCCGTTACGTGAGATAATCCGACCAGGAAACTTGCCCCGCAGTAATTGCATCGTTTCTCTGCATATGTGACAAGTGGCTCCATCCTGTTGGAACCACAAATCTTCAATGTCCATATCTTCCAACTGCTCCCAGAAAAAATCAGATATCATGTTTTGATAGCGAACACCATTAGCACCATTGAGGATGCATTCCTTTTTGAACAATCTCTCGTGGATTTTCTAATCCCCAAATACGAGCATTGTGCTTGTTTACAAAGCCACCAACGTGAAATGATTTTCGTTAAAAAATGAACCCCTTGTTCTCGTATGCATTCTGCAAACTCGCGGCGCTGTTGATGATCTCGGAGTTTCAACTCCTGAGTTATTTGGACTTTATATGGGTGTAGATGCAAGTCTTTTGTTAAAATTCGCTTTGTGGTTGAATACGTAAGGCCCACTTGCTGCGATCGATGACGAATGTGTTTGGATCTTCGGCTACACTTTCGCGAACAATGGCAATATTTTCATCTGACCGACCTGCACGAGCACATTAAGGGACTTTGAGGTTAGTTACAGATCCAGTTTGCTCAAATTTTTGAACCACATTCCAAATTGTCCTCTCAGAATATATATATATATATATATATATATATATATATATATATATATATATATATATATATATATATATATATATATATATATATATATATATATATATATATATATATATATATATATATATATATATATATATGTTTATTATAATAAACAAATACAGTGGCGTTTCAAAAATATTTCAGATTGTAATGTGGAACCTCTTATTGAATCACCCGTTATTATGTGCTTCCTACTATATAAACAAAAAATGCCCTATATGTCCACCTTTTTTCATCACAGCTACCAAGAAATCTATGTGCCTTAAAAGGGCTCGACACGGGTATTTTGCCACTGTGATTGCCGTATTAAATAAGAAAGTTATATTTTGCATAAATAATCTGAGAACGCCACTGCATTTGCATTAAGAAAATGCTTTTATGTGAATCCAAAATTTACATAAATGAAAAAGGTATAGGTGGTTTTCAAAAGGGCTGGAAATTGAAAAACTCTCGGTTGGTAGTATCGCCATGAGGTTTTAACCGCCAAATTTAAGTGGATTTTCATCTATCTAGCCCACAAATAGGGTTTTCTTGTTAAATAACTGCAATTACGACTACCCTGTACAATTTCGCATGAAATTATTTCGAAAATTCGTGAAGTTATCCTAGTCATATCTAGATACACTCTCTGAAATCCCGTTAAATCATCGACTGAATCAAGACTAATAATGCTATTTATCGTGATAGGTACGCGATTTGAAACAACGCGGTCGGTTTCGTAGTTGAGTCATCTGTTTCAAGGTTTCTACTCAACTTCGAAAACGATGGTTTTCGATTGGTTTTTTCGATGATATATCTGCGCAGTATCTTATATCGCGTCAATACTTTGCATTAAGCTTTTTTGCGTGTGTAATAGTCTTTTATATGGGTTAGTTAAACGGGAACCACTCTTATAATAGTTTTTATAGGTTTATAAGTGATGTTACAAGTTTTATAACGCATACCAAAACGCTTTAAATTCTGTAATAATAAATCCAAAACCTTATGTATAAAACCTGTGGCGTTGGTTACTTCGGTTTGAGTGGTAATGTTCATTATTTCATTGGTTTCGAAAGTGTTGAGAAAATGGTAAATACAAAAGTTGTACAGATTTTTAAGATGATCAATTTAATTTTTTTTCAATTGTTTTTAATTCGTATTCACAATTGCAAAAAAAAAAACGATAGCACCATGATTTGTGAAATTATATCACTCATATTTGAGATTAGCGTCATTCAACGATGACGTAACAGATATATGTAACGGAATTTGAATTAGATGCTGCAGGATGCTTAAAATATACCAAAGGATTAGGATCCTTTTAAATAGAAAATTATCGACTTTCTTAAATTGTTATTTTGTTATTTTTTCTAATAGAACTCACAAAAACTTTAATTAAGTATGTCATATAACTATTTTTAATATATTTTTTAACTTTTAAAAATTACCTTTCCTTCTGTCTAAGACAATTGCTACATTAGTTGACTATGACAAAATGACATTGTCAAATTTTTACCTGACAACTGAGTATAATAAAATTCACAAAATTTATTGTGGTGTCAGTAAATTGAAAAATAAATCCAGGTATAGATTTTCCTAAAGTTGAATGGTTCAATTAATCGACATAACATGCATTATAATTCAACAATTAATCCATAGTACAGGAAGTGCAAAACCAAAATCATTAGTCATTTAATATTGTGGTGTGGACAAGTTATAAGACCATCTTTTTTTCGCGAACTACTTTACAGGCTTTAAACTTCTTGCAGAGTAATTAACTTCACCTTCTTCAAGAACATTGAGATCCAACAAATGCGGTATTAGCAAGATGCAGCTCCTCCGCAATACCGTCGAGAAGTTGGAGAATTTTTAAATAATCATTACCACAGAAATAGATCGGTAAAGCTGGATTCATTGGATGGCCTCCTCGATCATGTGACAACACTGCTGGATTAATAAAAGTTGTACGTTGTTGTAAGATCTTAGTGTGGCATTTAAGAACATCGAGTTTTTTCAATTTAATCCAAATATATTCATTTGAACGTCCTGTAGCATATAATTCAAATTCATTCATTTACGTCATCTTCGAATTAGAGGGTATTTTTTTAGAAAAATTAAAATATAGGAAAAAATATTGGGTTTAGGTATGTATGATTATCAATAAAAAAGATGAAGGATTGAAAACTAGTTCAAAACAAAATTTAAAAATAGAGTGTTTACAACGTTTGTATTTACCATTTTCTCGTAACTTTTAAAACAATTGTACATTTTTAAAAGGCAGGTTCAATTATAAACTTTATGTAGATATTTGTAAAAAACATAGTACACGTCATTCGGGAACAAATAAATAAACAACAATTTAAAAGTGAGGTTATGGTGGCATAATTGATATTTCACATTAGGGCACCCATTGGTTGTCCGGTTATTTATAGTTTTATGGCGATTACGAACGTTTTTAAAAATACTTTTCCTGCAATTTATAACATTTTAAGTAATTCCAAAATCACCTAAGCTTTTAGACATCTACGCACGTGCAAAAGAAGCTCGATTTTTCCATATAAACGTAGGCCGAGAAACGCCCCCTAGCGGAGCTACAGGCAGGTTTTTATTTTTATTAATATTTCCGTAATAGGCACGGGAACACGCTGGATGAGAGACGGGTTCCACAAATCAGACAACCCCATTCGACAGTATTTTCCAATAACGCCAGTAACTAACACAAATACAACGCCATTTCTAAAAATATTCCCCTTATTCATCGGGATGTATTAAGTGATAATTGCAATGCTCCGAGATAACGTATCGGTCATATTACAGGGCGGCCCAAGGAAGATCTGGTTACATATACTAAGTCGGATTTTGCTTTATTTTTATCTTTATATATCAAACCACACTTCAGATCCGTAAGGGGGTAAAATAACCGGACCGCGAGATGCCATCTTGGTTCCCAAAGTCGATTACGTCCTTTATCAGATACCGCAGCGATGATAATTATTTGAATAACGATAGATTACCGCACGTTTTTATTGACGATGCATCGAACGTTAGCAATTGCGATTGCGTAAATGGATGGTGACCTTCATTGTCGTGCCAGCGATCTACAGGAGGCTACAGACTACAGGCCATTAATTTTTAAACGTTTAAAAGTTGATTTCGATCTGATATTTGATTCTGTATGACTTATGCCTCCTACATTTAAATCTAGGAAACATTTTTTTCTATCACGTAAGGTTTTTTCGATATTGAAAGAATACTAAAAAACACCATAAAGTATATTGTAGGTCCTTTGACGGCTATAACAAATGCCATATTTTCGAGCGATGATTTTCTTTCAGATTTCAAAATCTCTAATGTAATTCCCGTTAATAAAAAGAAAGATACTATAAATAATTTCATAGCTATTTGCCCCATTTTTGGGAGAGTTATCGAAAAACCGTTTATCCACGTTCTTTGAAGCGAACAAATTTCCAAGTGAATTGCAGTTCGGCTTTCGTGAAGATAAATCTACTACAGATGCGCTTATCCATTTTGAAGGCAGGATAGTTCGAGGGTTCGATGATGACACTCCTATACGACCGTACTAGAGCCTTCAAAGGTATTCCTCTAAAATTAATCGAATTATATCTCGATAACAGGTTTCAGTACGTTAAGTATGGAGATGAGTCGAGTGACAGAGTCCTAAGTGTGAAGTGCGGCGTTCCACAGGGCTGGGTTCTTGGACCGCTGCTATTTATCATTTATCATCTGTCTGTTCGCGGACGACACTGCCGTTTTGTCAGTTCCTAAACATCGCCAAATGCTCACTGAAAATGTTACATCAACTACAAATATTCTGCAACAATGGCTTTCTGTACATAATTTAATACCTAATGAACTAAAATTCCAAAAACTTATTTTCTCCTGTAGTAAAGTGGACTTTAAGATTAATCTCTTAGATGTCTTTTATAACACTAATGAATACTTATGTATTTTATGTACTCTTATTATTAGATTATAATATAATAGTTATTAGTTACTTCCCTATATAATTGTATCAATGTTTTGTTATTTTGGAAGTACCATTTGTTTTGGCACAACTTATCTGAATGGTTAATAAAGTTCTCTTCTATTCTATTCTGATAAATGAAAATCTCGGTTGATTTAAACATTATTTTTATTAAATAAAATAGCAAAGTCGCAAACAATAGTTAAGTCCATATATTTTTGGAGGATCTCAACCTCTTGACAGAAGAACTTCGTTTAGTGGATTTTCTTGTACATTCTATGACCGTATTTTCTCTTTTTAATGAACAACAGTAATCTGATATCTGCTTTCAATTTCTTTGATATCTTGGTGGAACCTCTCACCTTGCTCCTCACTTACGACACCAAAATTTTCGGGAAAGTAATCCAGACGTGTGTTTTATACTCATATTGCATCCCATTTCCCAAAATTTCTCCAACATGTTTTGCACAATATTTTTGTAATTTGGATATTTATTGTCTCCTAGAAAATCTTTTACAATATCAGTAAATGAACCCATTCGCACAAAAAACATGTGTAGTCCTTATGTCATGCCTGCTGACCTAGTAGAAGTCCCACAAATCATCGAACTATAGTCCTTGTATTTGATTTTCTCTGGCAGTAGTTCCAGATTTTCGTAGCATTTTTTCAACATCGGGTATAGAAGCAAGAACATTTTCGTAGTACAAAAGAACTTCTTTTAGATGAGAATTGTATTCTGACCCAAACTTCTTTATTAGATTAGGAATATCGGTGCAATAAACAAGTGAACCACTTTGTTCAAAATATAGATACTAAACTTTTTGTAAGATGAAATCTAAAAATATAATTGGCAGCTCTTAAATCAGCTTAAATTCCCAAAAGAAAATAAAAAAATAACAAACACTGGAAAAAAGCAAGGAATATATTAAAAAACGATTGAAACAATAACTATGTTAATTATTTTTGTAATTAGAAGTTGGCGAACAAGCAATAATATCCAGTGGCACTGAGTTGTAAGTTTTAATCCTAAATTTGTAAACCTAAGTCTCTCACTAAATCATTAAGTCCTGATATATATCACCAAGATCACGGACAGTATCTTCATCTATTTCAGGTTTAGAAAAACTGGTGGTATCTTCTTCTAAATTGACTAGATTCTAAGTTATTTTGACATCTGGGAAATGTGTCACTGGCCTAATTTGATCATCATCATGAATATTTGTTGGTTCTCTCCATATCATAGGTATTCAAAGAGGTAGGAATCGCCTGGTTCCATTGTTCCAATGTCATCGCCAATTTTTACTTTACAATAAGCGTTGTATTATTTTTAATATTGTTAGTTTGCGTCTAAACTTTTTGACCACAAAAGAAGCAAAACGTGTGTGAGTGCGTCCACCGATCGAAAAGCATTTAACATTTTAAATGATTTGCAATAACGTAATGTCATGTTTACGAATGGCAATGCGCGGAGTCGCACAGGGTTCCATTAAGGTTCCATTTATGTTTGTAGTTTATATTAATGATATCTTTGGCCATATGGACCATGTGGCTGGTTAATATCTTCAAATATTTGGGAAGGCAAATCTAGGAAGTTATTGGAATAATATTGCTTATTTAGTAAAGTGTCTTTTAAGTGTGAACTATTTGCTCTAACAATTAAAAACGTTTAATTAAAAACGACCATCAAGTTTTGAGTTACTGCGCTGTTGTACTGTGAAGAAACTCAACAGATTCCATAAACCTTTCTCGGATTCTTTAAAAGGCGATTAAAATTTATCCAACGATGGATGTCCACCTTTGTTTCAGAAACTTGGGGTTATGCCACTGCCACTCCACTCAGATAATCATCCTACTTACTCCTCAAATTTGCATCGAACTGTGAAGCTTAAATAGAGTCAAAGCTTGAAAAATTATCTTGACCTAAGCTTATATAACCTAATTCCAAATCAGGTAGCAAATTCGCCATTTAAAAATTTTAAAATCAAAATAAAACCATTTTCCCTAGAACATTGTTTTGATTCTGTAAAGTGATAAAAAATAAAATCTGATTCTTGATAGTGGACATTAAGTATTTGATTGTGGTCGATGACTTCCAATTTTTTTATTTTGCTATTTTCTCAAAAATAGAAAACGGAGGTGGTATGATCTGTGTCAATCTTCATCGTTTGGCTATCGACGGACCCTCCCCCAATAAAACTTTAACGATATAATTATCTATTGTTATTGGGTAAAGCCATTAAGAAAACAATTTCTTCTTGTGTGGATGAAAAGGCAGAGGTACGCCAGGTATATTTCTTTCTTTCTGACATATTTCTTGAGTGTTGACCATTTGTGGCAGTGTTGAATAATCGTTTTTACTGTGCGTTTTGAAGAATGTTGTTGAAAATTGTATTAAACTTTAATAAGTAGAGGACTTATGAAACAAAAACAAAAAAACTAAAAGGAACCTGTCTACTTACAAAAATGCCAATATCGTCGATAAGGGATATTATTAATAGTGGATAATTAAAGAAAAGGAATAAACGTAGTTATTTTCACCGTATAGACAATAGTGATTAGGGCCCCATAAGAAAGAAAATATATTGTCTTTATCAAAGCTATGTTGTTCCTACTTTGAATAAACTGAAAAAGAAGCTAGAAGAAGATGAAACGAACCGCAAAATAGAGAAAAGGCAAGTAGTAGTTGGAGATTTAATTAACTTCAAGAAATTAAAAGATATAGATCCATAATGAATCATAATCAACCCATCGAAAGGATGGGTCAGAAGACGGATTTGTCCAAAACCAATTGATGCTGTCTGCAAAAAACATTAAGGATTCTAGCTATTAAAAAATATTGCCAATAACAGTGTTGTCATGGATAACGCAAGCTATCACAGCTGTCTGCTGCGCAAAGCACCAGCCTCATCCAATTCAAAAACTAAAATCCAGGAATATTTCTTAGAAAAAGATATTTATTTTGAATTCACATTAATAAAAACCTACTTTTTGGAAGTCCTAAATCCATATGCAATTAAAAAACAGTCTGTATGCGATAATTTGGCTGAACTTCCTCCATATCATTGCATGTTTAAATCCATCGAGCATTTGTGGAAAAAAGTAAAATCAAAGGTCAGAGCAGGAAAAGTTACTCCTACTTTAAGTCACAGTGTTATGTGATAAAAAAAAGGTAATTAATAACATACCAATTGACAGCAGGAAAAAATAAGTACAGCACATTATAAAAATTGAGGACTCATACTTTTCTATACAAAACAACATAAATCCTATTACAATTAATCTCAACGGCGACACTGATAGTGAAAAAGGATTAGATTTAGACATTTAGAATATATATTTAATGTCATTGTTTTTTCTTAGTGTAATTTAATAAGATTATGCCCACCTACCGGAACAGAGTTTTATTGCCGTTGGCAAGTAACTTCCATAATTGCCGAGCCAGCACGGAGAAGATTGAGACAGACTATACCGAAAAATAAGTCGAAGAAAGAATTCTAAAAGGGAGGGACCCTCTGCGTCTATCTCACGGATATACACATTAGTAACTGACATCAAAATTGGAATGAAGACTACTAACTCTTTAAGTAAACTTTTGGAGGGGGGCAGCAGGAAAGTCAAGAATGAAAATATGATTGACACTTGAACATCGCCATTATAATTTTTGCTATTTTGATTTCCACACGACACTTGGGATTCCAAAATAGGAGATAGAGCCATAACCAGTTAACGAAAATTAATCGAATTTATCTCAGTTTCACAACGATGTTCATTTTATTTATATGTAATCTATCCAAATTACTGAGAGATGCCTATTATCCAAATTATTTTACTCGGACACTAGCGGCGGTCAAGCGTAAGCGTTCGATAGATGTATAGTCCAACTATACAACAGCGTACCGCCACCCAACCGAGAGTTTTTCCAACAAACGCGAAGTTTAGAGAAATGACGATTTGCTAAAACGTAGACAACCGTAGCCATTGGATTGATTGTATTGTTTTCATGAAAATATTTGTTTTTGTTCTCCTTTGATTAAAAAAAAGTGTGATTGTAGTTCGAGCACCTAAATTAACAAATAAGGAGATAAGGTTTCTATTATACTCCTTATAAACTTAGACTATAAATTTTGGAAAACAAAGATTAGCAACAAATATGTTTTTTTTTTAATAAACATTGGTCCAGAAATGCAAAGTTTTCAAGACGCAGGGTGTTAAATTAAAAAAAAGATTCATTCTTTAAATTAATATCTAAACAAATATTTACTCGACTCTGTTAAAATTTGGCAATATTATTTGGCGAATTAACGTGATCATTTAGCCCTAACAGATTTAAATTACGTGCCGGAAGCACCTATATTATTGCCAACAAAATTCACCGCCTTGTTTGCAACCCAAATAATTTTTGTTTTTTTATGCATCTAAATATATAAATAACATCTTTAACTGTATTTTTTCTAATATCACTTCCGAGGAAAAGAGAAACAAAAACAGTTTTATTGCATGTCGCTGAACAAAATAGGTTTACCAATTTTCTTTTCCCTTTCCAAAATTTCTCTAAAAAGTGTTTTACTTTATTTTTATTTTAAATTTAATTTTTTCATTTTAATTTAATTTATTTATAACAGTTACGCACAAATCTATATGACAGAAAAAGGCTCGATACGGGCATTTTTTAAGACCATATAAAATAAGAAAGTTGAATTCATTTATGAGAAAACGGAGAACTGCAGAAAAAATCTGAGTAAACCAGTGCATTTGTCTTGAAATATTCCGTAATTGTGTTTTAATTCGAATTTAAAGTTTTCATAAAAAGTTAAGGGCAATTTTCAAAAGGGCCGAAAATTGAAAAACGCCCTATATGACGGTTGGTAGTGATAGTAGTAGTTTTAGGGTGTATACTTCGGTGAATTCTCTATTGGACGGTACTAAAATATTGATTATAGATGCTATCATTTGCTGTCATAGATGATTTTTATGAGGCTGTCATAAAATTTGAAAAAAAATGGTATCAAACGGACAGGGGTAGGAAGGACTTTAAGATGTCTATAGATAGACCCAATTGACTTCTACTTTCAATAAATATTTTAACATTGTTAGAGAAACGTAAGTGTTAAAAAAATGTTAAATTAAAAAAAAACAATTCAAAATTCGATAGCCAATTCTTTAAATTTTTGTATTTCGCTTATTTACAATAATGGGAGATTAAATTTTCAGGGTGTACTATTGTACTATTTACAAAATTAATAGAAAATCAGACCTAACATTTCTGTTTACAGAAAACCTACGCACTCAGACAAATTGCATTGTCAGATCACCATCCGGCCCAAAAATTATCGGTTGTCAGTTCTCTTGTTTCCAGAGCCGTAAAACTATCTCAAACCGAGACATTGAATCCAGAATTACAACCCCTACATCACAAAATACACTTCACCACAACCTTCCAAAGTAAATGAGTCCTAAAGGAACCCCGCACTTGCCACTGTGGTCCTTCCTTACTTTCACATCACTTACCACATATCAAAAATCTTTCAACATCTTCGATTCGTCAAAGACAAAATTCGGTTTGAGATACCAGGAGACACCTGACGAAAAATATCAACTAGTCTCAAAGAACAGGAAAGAACCTTAAAACTACGAAAATAAACTCATTAGCAGTTGCTGAACACAAACATGAAACCGGACATTAAATCTTATAGGATAAAATTAAAACAAACCAAACAATCTTAACCGTAGCTTGGGTCTTTATCTTTCATCGATATGGGAATCCGTCATCCGAGACAATGTTTATGCCACTCCTTTAGCTCCGCACCTTTCAAACAATACATAAGCCGGCACAGAGTAGAATGTGTGCCAGTTTGGCGAAACGACAGCAAGGTCGATTCATTCAGAAGTTTTGTAAATAATGTTACGGTAGCCTGTGGAAGTTTCTTTCAAAATGTATACTTCTATACTTTCTCCACTGAAACATCCTGGGTGTATCGTGAAAAGTTTGCATTTCCGGAACTTTTTTTTCATATTTTCCAACAAGGAATCGCCCTCTAAAATGTATCCGTCTGCAAAAACATGGTCCAGTGTAGGTATGGTATTTTGTTAATGTTGGTCTTTTACTGTTATTATACCGACAACTTGATTAAAATATCCATTATTTTTATTCTTACAGAAAAATCGAATTTCGGTGAATTTCAAGATTATCTAAATTTGAAACTGTTGAAATTTGTTGTACAGGTTGCCCCATTCCCATAGAAGCTTGCAGTTCTCGCGACAATGTACTATTTTCTCGTAAAACTAAAGATGCCGTTCATAAAATTAAAAAAAATAAAACAACTTATCGGAAATGTGGCAACTGTCTCTTATATAACTTTTCCGGTAAAACTCAATTCTGCCTTTGAACTTAGTGTACAGGGCCAAATCAAAAAGTTGTCCGCCCTACTTTATTGTTTTAAAGCAAACACCCTGTATATTTATATACTATAAAATTTGTATTTTTTTACCTTTTATAAAATATAATATAGTGTGCACTTTAAGCAAGCAAATTAATGACACTTTTCTAAAATAAAATCGAGAGGATGCTAATGTTGCACTATACTAAATGTGTATTTATTTTTATTGTCTTTCTTCAAGATCCTCTGACAGTCAGTTTTTGACACACTAATTTCCTTCTCAATTTTTCTACACAAGGACGAAGTTGTTTCTATACATCCTAAAGCATATCTCTTTTTTCATTCGTTGTGCTCTTTGTTGTATGTTTCAGAACGCAGGCGAGCAAATGGTCCGTACTGGACTAAATTTGTTTGCAAACGAGCAAATATCTAAAAAACGGGTGCTGTTGTTCTGCACAAAATTATAACGGCAATAGAGATTTTCATAACAATACAAACTTACTCACCTTTGGAAATATAATTCTGAAACTGCTTCCGAATTTTCATTACTTTATATAAAATTAACAACGGCGTATTTATAATATATAATATAATATTTGGTTTTAGGTTTAAAGGCTTCCTTGGACGAGAATCCAGCAGATGAGTCGTGCGACGGCCTGTTTTATTACAGCGACGACATGTTGCAGTGCTTGAAATGTAAGTATTACTCAATAGGAAAATAATTTAAAGAAACATTAATAATGGATGTTGATGATTGTTGTTTCTTTGGTATCTCTACCGTGTTTTTACTCTGTGTAAATATGGACGTTTAAAATTGACCTGGTTTTTAGATTCTTACATGTTTCATAGAATTTCCAAAAATATCGATATACACAATCTAATCTTAAATTTTAAGAAGAGAGACTTTAGTAATTAAAAAAAATGATTGTATAAATACCAACGAACTCGCGGTGCAAAAAATACAATTTACTTAATCGATATTTCAACAGGCGTACCTCGAAGATATGTTTTAAGAGCTCCTTGTTCATAAGTTTTATATTTCGACAACGGTACATAATGACTCAGTGTCGAAAATATTATTTTTGTCTGTCTGTTCTCCGTCCTAGTCTTGTGGTTTTTATGGGATAACTTCTGAACGGTTTGAACGACGACATTGATGTTTGACCCCTTTTTAACTAACCCTCTACGGGTCACACGACCCTATAAAAATGGCCCCGATGTATAGAGTTCGGTTCCCTAATCGAACCTATTGAAATTGGAACGTTTCCATTGTTTTCTTTTCTCCGTTCTCTGAATCTGTTCTCTGTTTTCTGTTGTCGCCACTAAAAAATGCAAATAACTCTCGAACGATTTGAGCTAGGGTACTTCGGCTCCTTTTAAACAGACCACGAGGCACATAAGCCTACAAGAAATGGCCGCGATCGGACCTTGGCTTTTTTAGCCATTTTCACTTGACAATGGGTTCTTCTTTTAATGAAAATTAGCCATAACTAGAAGACCATATTTCAGGTGTTCGTTCTCTTAGACATGGCCATATAGTCTCTATAGACTAAAACTTTTGGATTTAAGGTTTTCACATATTTGTGTAGGGTGTTTGAAATATTTCATGTTATAATAAAAAATTTAATAGATGCCTCAAATAGCAACTATCGACTTCAGATTTGGCAGAGACGTGGACGTCCATACTCACATCAAACTGGAGTTGAGCGCTATCGAACTTCTAAAAGTATTAAAAAAAAATTGGGTTATTTCCAATTCCAGAAAAAAATACTTTCTCAAAAACTATTTACTCGATCGGCAAAATTCTTGAACCAGGAAGCGTGGGAAATCTGGGAGCTATTATTTCAAGCATCTTTCGAATATATACAGCGATTTCCCAAAAATTATTCTTTTCGGGAGTATATTATTAGATGTGGAGAAAAATTCGTGAAATTTGTTTTACATCATTTTGTAGGCCGCGTCGAGAGTTACAATTGTGGAATCACGGTTTTCGTCTATCGTACACGCTAATGACGTTATTTACTATTACCACTAACTGCATAGTTTCAGAAAAAAATATTTTCTCGAAAACCATTTAATCTATTGGAAAAATTCAAGAACCAGAAGACGCGGAAGTCCCAGAGCTATAACCCTTATTTCGAACATTTTTTGGATTATATAGAGGGTGTGTCATTTATGGGCAAATCTAATAGATCCTTAAAATTTCAGTTTTTTAAGTAAAATATTAGCCGTAAATGAAAAACTGTAAAAGATGGGATCGTTTTATTTAAATGTCAAGAGCTACAAGAGCTACAATTTTGGTATTTACAGTTTTCGTCTATCATACAGTGTGCGCGAGAAATTCGAAAAAATATCATTGGAATTCGCGAATACTGGTACAAATTTTTATATTTACAAAGGTTTACCTTGACTTTGAAGTTCAGCAAGACGTGAAAGAAACTTTATACTATACAGGGTGCATGCACAAGTTATCTGATTACTCGAAAATCTTTAAAAAGCTAACTCGTGAATGTTTATCTACCTATAGCGAATCGCGTGGCATTTTCCAATATTTTAGAAGTCACGGGACGTCGATGCCGGGAAATAGTGAAGAAGAAAATTTTGGATAATTTCCCTCTCAGAACCAAAGGTCATCCACATAATATTAGGATACAGGATACAGGTTGATTGTCAAAGGCCTCCAGAATGACAGGGCGCCTGACAGGTGGATAGACCATTCCGTTCCTTATTGTTGAAATTTAGAATTATAATGGCTTTACGGTAATTGTTTGATTATTAAGGATCGAAGCTCAGTATGCCAACCTGCTAGCGAGATACGAAGACCAAGTCAAAATTAATGCTGATCTTAGATCGGAGATTGCAGATATAAGAATTCAAATTGTCAATAACAATCGCAGTGACTTCACTTCTTCCTCTCACCGAAGCCAGCTTCGAAGTTTTTTGAATCCTTATTGTCGCTGGACTTGATGTTTCTCGATTTTCTCTTGTTGTTGAGCGACTTCAATATTCCTTCTCTCACTGTCTCAGTTCTTGTGGATGCAAGACATACATCCCAACCGAATTTCAGGGCCGTATTGAATATTAAACGGCATAACTCTGTAACTAATCAAAATAACCGTTGCTTGGACCTCGTTTTTGCCAAGTTCGCTTTTCCACACGTCTCCAATTTTCCAATCAATAGAAACGATCAAACCGAATTTTCCTTCAGGAAAGAGAACTATGCAAGCAACATTTCTCACCGTGCTGAGGTAAGCATACATGACAGACCTACCAATTTTTGGTCATTTATTCAGAGTAGGAAGCTAGATTCGTGGTTCTATAATATAGCTGTCGCAGCATTTGCAAAGTACTATTGGTGGCGCTTACACGATATCCAAGCCAGAGCCAGGTTCATCTTCAACCGTGTCCTTTAATTCAGATCTAGTCAACATACCAAACCTTAGTATCTTTTCAGCAAGCAAAGAACTCAAAAACAAAATGACTGCGGTTCTAACGGCATACCAAGTTTTATCGCGAGATACTATCCCTACGCACTGTGTGCTCCTTTATGCCGAATTTTTAACCTGGTACGAGTGTTTATCCAGAACATTGAAAAATTTACAAAGTTTATCATATTTTCAAAAAATTGAGTTGAAAATTACCGACCTAGTTCGATCTTATAATAACAATAATAATCATTTATTGTCTAACAGATTCTACATCCATTTACAAGACAATCTGACAAGCATATGATACATCATTTAAATACAATATAGTAAAATGTATAAACAAATTAAAGAGCTCACACTTGTACTCGTACCTTAGTGCCTATGCGTGATACAATATCAATTGCCTAAACAAAAAATTTTGTTTTGAGAATGTTTGATAACTGATTATAGGAGAGGTTGAAAATGTCAATATCACTACAACGGTCATTGAAAAGAAACATAACATTGTATAAGGGGGTTTTTATAAGGAAATTTGTAGATGGGGTAGGCAGGTGGAAAATCGGTGAACTGCGGACAGATCTTTGAGGAACATGGAGAGGGAATTGCATTAAGAGCTCCGAGCATAGAACAATTTTGCAGAGGAAGATAACCGCTAGATAGTTTCTTCGCCATTTTAAACACGGGAGTTCAAGTCTTTCCAAAAGTAATGACTGTTCAGTACCCCGCGCCGGAAACACTCCGTCAGCTTTAAATGCCAGGAATTTAACGAACTTTCTCTGTATACCCTCTAATTGGTCTATATATTTAGCGTGAATGGGGAACCAGATTGCCGCACAGTACTCAAGCTTGGATCTGACATGGCTAAAAAACAATGCTTTGAGAGCCTGAATGTTCTGAAACTCTTTAGCGTTACGAAAAATAAAGTCCATCGATCTTGTTGCATCTTTGCAAATGATTTCAATATGAGAGGCATAGGACCAGTTTAGTGTCGTATAAAATGCCAAGGTCTTTGAAAGAGGTGTATTTGGTAATTGGAGTAGTTTCCAGGCTGTAGTTAAAAACTATTGGACGCTGTCTGTTACAAAACGTCATCATAGAACACTTATCCGGATTCAGATGAAGATTGTTTGCCACACACCAGTTATTCAATGACTCCAAGTCCCTCAGCAATGCTGTACAGTCGGCAATGCCCACCACAATCCTAAACAGCTTCAAGTTATCGGCAAACAATAGGGCGCAGCTAGTTATGTAGTCGGCTATGTCGTTAACGAATAATAGGAAGATCAGTGGAGTCAGATTACTGCCCTGAGGTGCCCCGCTTGTGGCTATAAACCTCGAAGAACGGTGTCTACGAATCTCCACATACTGATATCTATCATGTAGATATGAAGCAAAAAAGTCTACCAGTTTATTGCTGAATCCCATTGCCTCAATCTTCTTCAGGAAGATAGCGTGGTCAACTCTGTCGGATGCTTTAGAAAAATCTGTGTATAGTACATCAACTTGAGATTTATTGTCTAGATCCTCTCCAATATACTGAGTAAGACATGTTAGATTGCTGGCAGTACTTCTATTGGTAAAGAATCCGTATTGTTTTTGGGTAATAACATGCTTCACTTGTCCATAGATGCACTCGTACACAGAAGACTCAAAAAACTTAGCGAAGACCGATAGGATGGAAATGGGTCTGTAATTAGTACTATCGTTTACACAGCCCCTCTTGAATACAGGAGTTATTCTCGCCTCTTTCCATACTCTAGGGAAGGTGCTTGACTTGAGACAGAGCGATAGGTCTAAGGAAAGCATTAATACAATCTCTGGCAACAAAGGATGGTACTCTATCTGGTCCCTGGGTAGCCTTATTTTTTAACTCCTTTGCTGCTCTTAAAATAGCTTCATCCGAGAGACAGATTATGCTAATAAAGGAATTGAGGTTTGTTTTGTTCACAGAGATGTTCTCAGTGGTTGGTGCCATATAGGCATCTCCAAAAAATGTGGCAAATGCGCTAACAATATCCTGTGGGTCCAAGTATTGCACACCCTCATTGGACACAACCTCAGGCAACGGCATCGAGGAGTGCTTTGCATTAACAAAGGACCAGAATGTCTGGGGATCAGCAGCAATTGAATTTTCTGCCTTAGTCACATAGTTTTTGTAGGATGTGGCAATCATAGATTTAATTTGCGTACGTAAAGTACTGTATTACGCTTTAAGATGTTGTGAGTCACTTTTTCTCATCTTCTTGAAAATTCGGTGTTTTCGTTTGA